GGAAGACGTGATCTCTGTTGCTGTACTTCTAAAACGAACAGAACAAAACATGAGCCATCAGAATGCAATCCTAAACACAGTTATGCCTTTCTAAACCCATTGACTTCAATGGCCGTAGAAGGGTGTAACTCTCCTTAGGACTGCACTGTAAAGTGAGTTTCTGGAGACGTGTCTTTTAAGGCGCGCTAGCAACATGATACACATGTTTTGGAGCCTTCCAAGGTTTTTTCATCCTTAAATAGTACCTATCCAACATTGCATGCCCCGTGAAAACATAAATATGTGCCACTCTGAGACCCCTTTGGGTAGTGAAGGGCGGGGTATAAATCCAATCTCTTCTTCTTCTTTTACCTCACAGGGTGTCTGTTGTGGGGAGGGGAAGGGAAAGGAGTTTGTAAGCCGCTTTGAGACTCCTTTGGGTAGTGAAGGGCAGGGTATAAATCCAATCTCTTCTTCTTTTACCTCACAGGGTGTCTGTTGTGGGGAGGGGAAGGGAAAGGAGTTTGTAAGCCGCTCTGAGACTCCGAGTGAAGGGCGGGGTATAAATCCAATCTCTTCTTCTTCTTCTTTTACCTCACTGGGTGTCTGTTGTGGGGAGGGGAAGGGGAAGGAGTTTGTAAGCCGCTCTGAGACTCCAAGTGAAGGGCGGGGTATAAATCCAATCTCTTCTTCTTCTTCTTCTTCTTTTACCTCACTGGGTGTCTATTGTGGGGAGGGGAAGGGAAAGGAGTTTGTAAGCCGCTCTGAGACTCCGAGTGAAGGGCGGGGTATAAATCCAATAATCTCCTCCTCCTCCTCCTCCTCCTCCTCTTCTTCTTCTTCTTAAGAGCAAATACTATGGGATGAATTATCTCAATCTTGGTCACCCGCGACACATCCTTACACTTAAGAATCTTTTCTAGCTCCTTCATGGCTGCCCTTCCCAGTGTCAATCTCTTTCTGATTTTTTGGTTGCAGCCTCCCTTTTGGTTGACAATTAACCCAAAGGAAAAAAAAATATTGAACAATTTCAGTTTCTTCATCGTCAGCCTCAAAGTTGTGTAATTCCCCCAGTAGTTATTCCTTTTGTCTTCTTGATGTTCCGCTGTAATCCTGCTTTGGCACTTTCTGCATTAACCTTCCTCAGGAGTCGTTTCAAGTCTTCACTGTTTTCTGCCAGTAATGTGGTGTTATCTGCATATATCAGATTGTTAATGTCCCTTCCATCAAATGCCACTCCGCCTCCCTTTAAATCTAATCCAGCTTTCTTTATGAACTCAGTAGATCCGTTTGCCTAATTGGCATGTGGCAATGAAACGTCCAGTTAGCTAATTCCAACTCTGAAAGTGAAAGAAGTCCTTGTTGATGAGAAAAACCATGTGATTACCAAAAAACACCACCTTCTAATCCAACTCCAGCCGTTATACATTCCAATTCCAGTAAATATAAGTCTGCACAAACGTCAGGAATAAAAAGCAGATGTTAAATCTATTTAAGAGCGTAGTGTAGATGTCATGCTTAAGATAGTTCCATGCGTTTTTAAATATGCTTCACCTTTTTATCTTTTATAACCATTGGCTCATGAGGAATCTCGTGGTGCCTGTGAACGGTTGGACTCTCAGGGAGTCGAGCCGTCAATTTGATCTTCCGCCTCCGCTTTTCTTTCACCCAACTGTAGCTGGTGTTCAACTGCCCTCAACGTTTTGTGATGGCAGTTGAGGGGTCGCTGGAAGTCAGCTGTAGGGATGGGCACAAACCAAGGAAATGGAGGTTCATCCCAGTTAACGAATCAGTTCGTGGTTTGTGAGGTTTGTGGTGTTGTAGAATGCCCCCCATGCGGGCTAGAGAAGCCAAACTCACAGCAAGTCTCCTGCTGACCCTCCTCTACCTGCTCTCCAAGTTTGGTGAGGATTGGATTTAGGGGGAACTGAGTTACACCCCCCCCCCGAAAAGTGCTCTCTTAAATCAGGAGTATGTCGAAAGGACCCTCTGCAAGCTACAGGTATCAAACTTGCAGAGGATGTCCCTCGGTTGCCCCTCTACCTGCTCTCCAAGTTTGGTGAGGATTGGCTCTGAGGGGGCCGGGGAACCCATTGGCCGAGCTCTTTGCCTGGCTGTAGTAGAGGCCTGGCGTGATCTGGTCCATGGGGTCGCGAAGAGTAGGACTTGACTGTGTGACTGAACAACAACAAGTAGAGGGATAGGTGGTGGGTCAGAGCCCTGAGCCCACCAGACACCACCCCAGCCAGGGACAGGTGTGCAAAAATCCTACTGAGGGGGACTGTGTGGTTCCTCAGCCAAGGACCCCCCTGGCTGAGCCCCTCTGCTTGATTTTAGTGCCTCAGAGCCCTGAGTAAGCACCAACACAGTACACGGTACTGAGGAATGACTTCCAGTTCCTTCCCTCTCTGCCTCTAACAGTTAACTCCCTCTCTGCCTAAAACAGCTGTGTGTGAGCTGGGGGTATATATCCATTCTGCTCCCATAGAGCAGAACAGGAGCTCTCTCGTTGGTGGCCAGAGCTGTCTATCAAGATTTGGAGGGCCACTATTGGTGTTTCCAGGGCTGCAGAAGTCCATCCCCCCCAGTTGCTTTGACAATTAATTCATCGGTGCCAGCATGTCTGGCTTACGAACCAGCACCACGAACCTCCATGAAAAACAGGGTGGTTCACGGGCGGTTTGTGGGAGATGCAATCTCATGAACCGAGGCTCACAAACCACAAACCGGGCGATGTTCGTTACAAAATCAGGTTCATGCCCATTCTGGTCAGCTGCAACTATGTGGTATTTTCCATCACTGACTTGCCCTCAGCAGTCTGTGCCTTCCGGAAGGAAATCAGCATGTTTGGTCTATCAGGCTGTGTCTTGGGGTTTCTCCCCTTTTTAAATTTCCAAACTAATATTTTTCATGTAAGAACATAAGAGACCCCAATGTTGGATCAGGCCAAAGGCCCATCCAGTCCAACACTCTGTGTCACACAGTGGCCAGAAATACCAGGTGCCATCAGGAGGTCCACCAGTGGGGCCAGGACATTAGAAGCCCTCCCACTGTTGACCCCCCTCCCCCCAAGCACCAAGAAGACAGAGCATCCCTTGCCCCAGAGTCCCTATCTATACCTTGTGGCTAATAGCCACTGATGGACCTCTGCTCCATATGCCTATCTAATTCCCTTTTGAAGCCGTACCTAGGGGATTCACCAACCACGCAGAAACCTCTGCCGCGTCCGCCGACGGACTCTCTTCACTGCTTCATGATGGAGGAAGCGTCCAGTTTGCTTTTAGACAGAAAGATTTTTACATTGTTTGGAGTTCTTTCTGTAATATTTGCCAATTGAATTGGTCAATACAGTAAACAAAGCTGAATAATTTTAAATTGCAGACAGAAAAACTCTTGACATTCCCATGAGACCTTGGAGTCTGCACAAATGTCAGAAGTAGCCGGTATTATGCATAAAATATTGGAAATGTGACCGTAGTCAAACCTCTTCGGAAATACAGAAAGTAAACAAAAAATGTTTCAGGCAACCTGGTTTCCAATAATAGAATATTTAACGAAAAGCAATATTGTGCCTAAAAATTCACATTATGTAAATTTATTGTATTTCTGAAGTTAGCATTATTTTATACAACATTGTATTTAGTAGATATTTCCCTAAACTTCAAATTGTTAATTTTACAGTTCCAAAAAAGTTATATGTTTTGTTGTTTGTTTGTTTGTTTTTTAAAAATAAAAATTAAAAATTTAAAAAAAAACCTCTTCCATCCCTACCCCACTGAGTTGCTTTAATAATCTTTAATTTAGAACCATGTTCAGCTTACATTCAGGTATAGCAGAGGTCCCCAATTTCGTTCCTGTGGGCAATGTGGGACCTGCAAACACCTTTTCTGGAGCCTACCAACTGTTTTTAGGAAGCGGATTGGGCCAGGAAAGGCTTTTGCCCAGCAAGGCTCCTGATTGGCCATTGGAGAGTTGATTGGCTGTGCACATTTTTCAAAATGTTGCTTTGGCAGCAGCTTCCACCACAGCATAAGGATCTGCACTGTGTGACTGGAGTTAAGCTGTAGCAGCCATTTTGCAGCTGGCCCTGCCTCCTGTGGCAGCCACTTTGTGGCAGCCATATTGTTGCTGCATCACACCGTAGTATGACAAAATTACAAATGTGCCCACAGGCTCAAAAAGGCTGCGAGTTTATATAAATAATTCTCATGCAACAAAGTGAGTTCTGCTTGACAACTGTAATAAATAAAACAGTATGTAGTTTAGGTAGGAATTAGATATAATAGATAAAATAAGGTAAAGGTTTCCCTTGCTCGAAAGCCAGTCGAATCCGACTCTAGGGGGCGGTGCTCATCTCCGTTTCCAAGCCGAAGAGCCAGCGCTGTCCGAAGACGTCTCCTTGGTCATGTGGCCGGCATGACTTGCCTATGTTTATGTCTATGGTTATGTTTGTGTTCATGTAAGACGATAATCTATGTATAATTGTAGTAATGTATTGTATATTTTTTATTTTTGCTTGCTTGTAAAAATAAAAATTATACATTAAATAATAATGATAGTGATGATGACGATGATTTATTTTTAAAAGGCTGGGACCCCTGAACTATAAGCCTTTCTTTGACAGACACAGATGAACAATTTCTATTATGTTAAGGATCCGGTACCCAATCCATGGGTGTGATCTGGTTAAAGTAAAACAGTTCAAAGTCCCATTGACTTCAAAGGGAGAACACTTTTTAAAGAAACAGACATAATAGTGCCATAGCGGTGGCGCAGGCAGGAAAACGCATGCTGTAACATCAGTGAACAGCCATTAAGGCTGTTTGAGACCCACCGCGGCCGGGGTGAGCTCCCGGTCCCAGTCCCAGCTCCCGCCCACCCAGCGGTTCAAAAGCGTAAAGCGAGTAGATAAAACGGGTACCTGCCCCTAGGTGGCAGGGGGCACCCTCCTCCTGTGGCGGTGTGCAGCTGGAGCATCGGCGGCGGTGCGATTGACGAACGACCCTCGCGACCCAGTGAGCATGGCGTCGAGCGGCAGAATCCGGGCGGAGACGGAATTGTGGAGGTGCGGTGACATGGCGGCGCAGCAGAGCCGGTATAACATGAGCCAGAGCTGCGGCTGGTGCGGAGCCGCGCACCAGGATGAGTCCGCCGGAGAGAGCCACTGAATTAAGATCCGTTTCAAGGCGCCAGGAGGTAGAACGCCGAAGAATAATAACATCCAAAGCCCACTTGAAAGAAGAGACGTATAACAACAGAGCTCTGCTGCCTGGGTGCCGGTAGGCAGTCACTCCCCTCATATAATGTGGCCCTAGATAGGTATCTAAATTGTATGTAAACCGCTCAGAGACCCTTCGGGGTTAGAGCGGTATATAAGATGAAAGTTAAATTTTAAAAAAAAAATCCTAAATCAGAGTTACATGATTGTAAGCCCATGGACTTCGAAGGGTGTAACTCTGCTTAAGTTTGCGTGAGTGCCTGCATTTGGATGTCATGGCCGACTGGAATTTGGCTGAAGGTTTCCCCTACCAAGAAGCTTTTAATTACACGGGAGCCTGTGCGTGGCCCACAAGCCTCGTTTGTGCCCATCATGAACAGAGATTTACAGGATGTCTGGATACAGTCTACGTGACAGGATTTTGTTTTCATAGGAGAGCGCTCAATCAGGCCATCTCCTCCCCGTTGGAAGCCAGGGAACAATTTACCTCATGATGAATCGTCTGTGGCCTTCCTCTGGAAAGCTGGTGCCCGTCGAAGTAGACATCGCTGCCCTGAACAGACAAATGGTCTGACTCTGTAGAAGGCAGTTTCATGTGTTTATCTGTGACCATTCACCAGAGAATGGTTTTTACCTCAGGGTTCCAAGAGAAGGCCCCAGAATTAGAGCATCGTGGTTGATTAGTTTTTCGTTCCCATGGGGCAGAACATGGAGCATTTCCTTCTTTTTAGCATGACAGGAATATTCTGCCGAGGCGACGTTGACTAAATGTGAACACACCAAAAAAAGGGGGGGGGGTGAATGTATACATACACACCGCAAGGAAACGAACTGCCAAGATTAGGTTGATATGACTTACAATCTTACATTTTTTGTGTTTGAGTGTGAAAACCCTGACACAAGGTCCACGATCTCTGTAATGTCTCCGTTTGGCCACACAGAATAAAATATGCACGAATCAATTAACACCTAGTCTGGCTAATTATATCAACATTTGTACTTGCTGCGTATGCATATATTTATGACTAGTGGAGAAGGCCCACAGGGCCGAAACGTGTTTGGTCTTGTTGACTGCGGTTTTTGTTTGTGGACTATCAACTCTGAGATGCTCATTGAGTCTGGTTTACTATGGTCGTGTTTGTGTATCATCAACTTTGAGACATTTATACTCAGGGCTTTTTTTGTAGAAAAAGCCCAGCAAGAACTCATTAGCATAATAGGCCACACCCAACAACAGAAACTCATTAGCATATCCAGCCACACCCATGAGAGCATAGCTCATTAGCATATTAGGCCACACTCCCGTGTTACCAGAAGTGTGGTCATCCAGCCACACCCACCTTTTGCTTCTTATTCTGTTTACCTTGTTTGTGGTCAAAACCCAGGGCTTTTTTTTGTAGCAGGGACTCCTTTGCATGTTAGGCCACACACCCCTCATGTAGCCAGTCCTAATGAGTTTCTGCTGTTGGGTGCGGCCTATTATGCTAATCAGTTCCTGCTGGGTGTGGCCAACTTGGGAGCCAGCTGGAACTCTGTTCCTGTGCGTTCCTGCCCAAAAATAGCCCTGTATAACGTTACTATAAAGAATAATTTTAAAGAAAGTGTCTAGTTACAAAAAGTCAATATGATTAATACTTCTATAACTATGACATTTATAAAAGGAAAAGGTTTCCGTTGCTCCAATGCTAGTTGAATCCGACTATGAGAGTCAGTTTGGTGTAGTGGTTAAGTACGTGGCGATATATGCTGAGGAGCAGTGCCATCAGCCATACACTAAGGGAGTGCATTTTAGAATTAGAACTTTGGCACCCACTATTCAATTATATATAAGGAGAGATATTTATACTATATATTGTATATTGGCGACTACTCAGTCCGGTGGCTTTCACTCTAGAGGTGCAATTGAAGGCCTATGTTTTTAAAACCGGATAACAAATTTATTTTAATTCATTTTTATATGGTTTTTTTGCCCCACCTTCATAGTACCTTGTTGACTGAATGTGAGCCAAGACAGCACCTCCATCGGCTGCCCTGTGGCGCCTCACAAGTTCTCCAGACTGGTTCTGAAGTAAGTGTTCAGCCATTCTTGTGGAACTGTTCACCACCACCCTGTTTGCCAGAGGGAGGGGAGGCCTTCTTGAAATGGCTGGCTCCAGCAGCTGCTAACATCTTGGCGCAGGGCAGCCTGTCATGTTTCTTCATCCTTCTGACAGCCGTGAACATTGTGTTTGCTGTTCCTGCAGGCCTCGCCGTCGGGTAGGGTCAATCCTCGGCCTGTATCTGTCACTGGAATCAAGCCTCAATTTACGCAGTCAAGCTGCTTCCTTTTCCTTTGAGAAATGCTGAACTTTGCATCGTTGTGTGCCATAAGACAGTGTTTCCCAAATGTATAGGAGGACAGAGCAGGTGAACGCACAAAGCTGCCTTATACTGAATCGGACACGACATGGCCTTGTCTACTCAGACTGGCAGCCGCTCTCCAGGGTCTCAGGCAAAGGTCTTTTCTGTCACCTACTGCCTGGTCCTTTAACTGGAATAAATCCAGAAACCGTGAAAATCATATATAACGTCAGGGCTTTTTTGGTAGAAAAAGTCCAGCAGGAACTCATTAGCATAATAGGCCACACCCCGAAGCAGAAACTCATTAGCATATTAGGCCACACCCCATGACTGCACCGCTCATTAGCATATTAAGCCGCATTCCCATGTTACCAGAAGTGTACTCATCCAGCCACACCCACCTTTTGCTTCTTATTCTGTTTACCTTGTTTGTGGTCAAAACCCAGGGCCTTTTTTTTGTAGCAAGAACTCCTTTGCATGTTAGGCCACACACCCCTAATGTAGCCAATCCTAATGAGTTTCTGCTGCTGGGTGTGGCCCGTTATGCTAATGAGTTCCTGCTGGGCATGGCCAACTTGGGAGCCAGCTGGAACTCTGTTCCTGTGCGTTCCTGCCCAAAAATAGCCCAGGTAATGTTACTATAAAGAATAAATTTAAAGAAAAAGTCAATTTGATTAGTACTTCTATAACTATGACATTTATAAAAGGAAAAGGTTTCCGTTGCTCCAACACTAGTTGAATCCGACTATGAGAGTCAGTTTGGTGTAGTGGTTAAGTACGTGGACTCTGATCTAAGAGAACCGGGTTTGATTCCCCACTCCTCCACTTGCACCTGCTGGATGACCTTGGGCAAGCCATAGTTCTGGCACAGCTGTTCTCTCAAGGACAGTTCTGAAAAGAGCTCTCTCAGCCCCACCTACCTAACAGGGTGCCTGTTGTGGGGAGGGGAAGGGAAAGGAGTTTGTAAGCCACTCTGAGACTCTGAGTGAAGGGTGGGGTATAAATCCAATCTCCTCTCCTCCTCCTCTTCCTCTTCTAGAGGGCGGTGCTCATCTCCATTTCCAAGCTGAAGAGCCAGCACTGTCCGAAGACTTCTCTGTGGTCATGTGGCCGGCATGACTAAACACTGATGCGCCTGGAACGCTGTTACCTTCCCACCGAACTACCTGCAGTTTCTTGCTTTTGAACTGCAAGGTTGGCAGGAGCTGGGGCCAGAGGCGGGAGCTCACTCCGTCACGCGGCACTCAGGTCTCGAACTGCCGAGTTTCCAATCTTCCGGTCTGTAACTCAGCATCTTAACCACTGAGCTACGGTGGCCCTACAACATTTATCCACTGTCCCTGTTACTGACATACAAAGTACTTCATAGAGAATTAGAAAAGTCCATTCCAACCATCACTGACACTGTATGGTCAGTCCTTGAATAAAGTAGAAATACATGAAGTCCATAAATGCAAGAACTCTTGAAATAAGAGCTGGCGTGATTGATCTGCTACTTGGAAATTTTGAAGGCGTCTGAGTTTTGTCTTTAAAGAGTTTGCTGAAACTAGTTTTTACCGGTTGTATTATTAAAAGGATCGTAAGCTCTTTTCGAAACAGCTAATATCAAATGCCTGTTGGGTGTAGTGGTTAAGAGCACGGACACCAGACTGGGGGAATTGGGTTTGATTCCCCACTCCTCCCCATGCAGCTGCTGGTGTGACCTTGGGTCAGTCACACAAGTTCTTTCAAAGCTGTTCTCTCAAGGGCAGTTCTCAAGAGAGCTCTCTCACCCCCACCTGCCTCACAGTGTGTCTGTTGTGGGGAGGGGAAGGGAAAGGCGATTGTAAGCCACTCTGAGACTCCTTTGGGTAGTGAAGGGCGAGGTATAAATCCAATCACTTCTCTTCTTCTTTTACCTCACAGGGTGTCTGTTGTGGGGAGAGGAAGGGAAAGGCAATTGTAAGCCACTCTGAGACTCCTTTGGGTAGTGAAGGGCGGGGTATAAATCCAATCCCTTCTCTTCTTCTTTTACCTCACAGGGTGTCTGTTGTGGGGAGGGGAAGGGAAAGGCAATTGTAAGCCACTCTGAGACTCCTTTGGGTAGTGAAGGGCGGGGTATAAATCCAATCCCTTCTCTTCTTCTTTTACCTCACTGGGTGTCTGTTGTGGGGAGAGGAAGGGAAAGGCAATTGTAAGCCACTCTGAGACTCCTTTGGGTAGTGAAGGGCGGGGTATAAATCCCATCCCTTCTCTTCTTCTTTTACCTCACTGGGTGTCTGTTGTGGGGAGAGGAAGGGAAAGGCAATTGTAAGCCACTCTGAGACTCCTTTGGGTAGTGAAGGGCGGGGTATAAATCCCATCCCTTCTCTTCTTCTTTTACCTCACTGGGTGTCTGTTGTGGGGAGAGGAAGGGAAAGGCAATTGTAAGCCACTCTGAGACTCCTTTGGGTAGTGAAGGGCGGGGTATAAATCCAATATCCTCCCCCCCCCTCCTCCTCTTCTTCTTCCTTCTTCCTTCTATGATCCTCGTTCATCGTTACTTCATGACCCTCAAGGAAGTCCAAGCAGAAGAATAATCTGATTTGTGGTGTTTGATGTAAAAGGACTATATGAACACTTCATACCGGTATCTCCCTCCCCCACCATTTCTCTGTCTTGGCTAAGCTGTCTTAATAATAAAAAGGAAATGTGAAAAGCATTTTTGCTTGGAAAAGGGAAGCAACAGCCCTGCCAATTTCAGAGCGGGAACGCTGCAGCCGTGAAATCCTGGCCGCGTTGAAGGCAAAGGTCACGTGGCTTTCTTTGAAGCGTGATGTTATAGACTTGAGCTCGAGCCGCAAAGCGTGAAGCGAGGGCTTTTCTCAAGGGTGGAAAATATCCATTTGCCAAACTTGCCACGGTGGCATGGAGGGGGGAGGGCAACCTATTTTGATAGATGAACAATGAGCGCCGGCACTCCTTGGGTGTAAGTAGGGTTGCGCCAGTTCTGGATAGAAAAATACCTGGAGGTTTTGTAGGCGGAGCCCGAGGAGGGTGGGGCTTGGGGAGGGGAAGGACCTCAACGGGGTATGATGCCATAGGGCCCATCCTCTACATTCAGTGTAATGGTTAGGAACGCGGACTCTAATTGGGGAGAACTGCGTTTGATTCCCCACTCCACATGCAGCTGCTGGTGTGACCTTGGGTCAGTCACAAGTTCTCTCAGAGCTGTTCTCGAAAGAGCTCTCTCGGCCCTACCTACCTCACAGGGTGCCTGTTGTGGGGAGGGGAAGGGAAAGGAGATTGTAAGCTGCTCTGAGACTCTGAGTGAAGTTTAAATGCAATACCCTCCTCCTCCTCCTCCTCCTCTTCTTCTTCTTCTGCCATTTTCTCCAGGGGAACTTATCTTGGTTATCTGGAGATCAATTGTAATAGCGGGAGATCTCCAGGTGCCACCTGGAGTTGGCAACCCTAGGCGTATGGAAGAAGAAGCCAGGGAAACAGCACTGTCTCTAGGCCTTCTCACAACTGCTTCAGGTGATTGTACTGAACAGAGCATTGAGTTGATTAGTCCGGTTTTTCCAGCCTCTCCTTGTACAGCTGGAAACATCTGTTTCTGGTCTTCCAAAGAAGAAACTTTAAAAAACAGAACTGGCCGCCATCCCCTCTGGGAACACAGTACCTGAAAAGATCTGAGAAAACACCAAAAGCCAAGTCGAAGGCAGAAGCCAAACCAGCGGGCTAGCGCACATTTCTGGAGCCCGTTTCGACTTCTCCTCTCCAAAATCAGCTTGAGGGGACTCTAACTCTGAGACAGTTTGACATGAAGATGATGAGGATCTTGAATGTAGCCCAGGTGGGAAAATTCCTGGAAAATTCTGGGAGGGGGTGGAGCCTGGGGAAGAAGGTGGAGTTTTAGGGGGGGGTTACCACAGCAGAATATAATGAAAAGATGGGGAGGAGAAGATTGGATTTATACCCCCACCCTTCACCACCCAAAGGAGGCGGCTTACAATCTCCTTCCCCTCCCCGCAACAGACACCCTGTGAGGTAGGCAGGGCTGAGAGAGCTCTCTCGAGGACTGCTCCAGAGAGAACAGCTCTGAGAGAACTTGTGACTGACCCAAGGTCACACCAGCAGCTGCATGTGGAGGCGTGGGGAGAATCAAACCCGGTTCTCCCAGATTAGAGTCTGCGCTCCTAACCACTACACCAAACTGGCCATATAGAGGCCATCCTCTGATGGCACCATTTACTCCAGGGAAACTGAAAGCCGGTGTGGTGTGGTGCTTAGGGTGTTGGACTACGATGTGGGAGACTCCAGGTTCAAATCCCTGCTTGTGCCATGGAAGCTTATTGGGTGACCTTGGGCCAGTCACGCTCTCAGCCTAACAGCCTACCTCACAGGGCTGTTGTGAGGGTAAAATGAAGGAGAGGAGAACAAAGGAAGCCACTCTGAGTCCCCTTCCAGGAGAAAAAAGGTAGAGGTAACGGTTCCCTTGCTCGAAAGCCAGTCGAATCCGACTCTAGGGTTGCGGTGCTCATCTCCGTTTCAAAGCCAAAGAGCCAGCGCTGTCCGAAGACGTTTCCGTGGTCATGTGGCCAGCATGACTAAACACCAAGGCGCACGGAACGCTGTTACCTTCCCACCAAAGTGGTACCTATTTATCTACTTGCAATTTCTTGCTTTCGAACGGCTAGGTTGGCAGGAGCTGGAACTAGAGATGGGAGCTCACTCCGTCATGTGGCACCCGGGTCTCAAACTGCTGAACTACCGACCTTCCACAGCCTGCAGATCACAAATCTCTGTCTTCGGGAGAGCAGTGGCAATTCTGGGGGATTCCCAGGCCCTACCTGCAGCAACTCCCTTGGTATATAAGCAAAAAATGGGGGAGGAGATACAGTTGCCAACCTCCAGTGGGGGCCCAGAGACCTCCCAGAATTGCGACTGATCTC